GGAGAACGTTGAATAGTTCTGTTGTGTGTATGAGCATGTGTGTGTCTGCCGTCATCACAAGAACAGCAATAGGATATACTCTACTCTTGTCTCTTTCAGCCTCTACTTGTTTGCTTGGGGTTTAAAACCTCTTGTAAACTGGTCACATAGAACTACACATCAGCGCTGCTCCACATAGAACACGGTGGGTCATAATATCTACTACCCATGTTTATGCATGTCTGGAAAGAGAAGTTAATAATTAAAAGCTATTTGCCATACTTCTGCTTGAAGGACTGATTCTTTGAATCTGAGACTACAAGTTATTAGTTATAGAACCTAGCTTTGTTTGTTATTTTATGTCCCTTAGATATATTTACTTTATACTTTGACTTTAAACAACCCTTTGGTTTCTCAGTGGCGCGTGCTATTGTATCTTCTCTGTCAAAATCATTTTTTCTAGTAATACACTACCCATAATTCCAAATTGTGTTTTATTGCCTTTAATTTTATCTTCTCTCAGAAGGTCATATGTTTAAAAAGTAGTACTGCACATTTGAACTTGTCCAAAATAGACTTTATGAGGTGCTGTTTGCCATATCATTTAGAATTGTGTTGGCTGTACAGAATAAAAAATTCCATTACAGTGTTTTTAAAAATTGAACTTCAGGGGCACCTGGGGGCCTCAGTCGGTTAGGCATCTGACCCTTGTTTTGGTTCAGGTCATGATCTCATAGGTTGTGAGATCAAGCCCTACATTGGACTCCGTGCTCAGTGAGGAGTCTGCTTGAAGATTCTCTCCCTCTGCACCCTCTCTCTGCTGCACATGCCCTCTCTCTCTCTCAAATAAATAAATAAATCTTAAAAAAATGAACTTCATTTTTTTTATATAACAAAAATTCGATAAGTAGGGAGCTGGTGTGGATTTGGCTGCTCAGTGATGCCATGAGGACTTTATGTTCTTCCTGTTATTTGGGTCCCAGTTCTTAACAGGTCAGCATGTTGGTCTTGTTTACAAGATGGCTACAGTATTTATCTAAGCTTTATATTCTTGTTCCAGCCAAGAGAAAATGGGAAAGGTTAAGGGCTGTCCTGCTGTTCCTGCTCACCTTTATTATGAAACCTTTGATTTTTGTAACTATTAACATAGTTTCTCTTAAATCTCATTGACCGAAGTTGTGTCACATGGTTCTCCTGGCCACAAGGGAGCCAAAAGCAAGCATGTCATGTTAGGCTGGGCATAAACTGCCCTAATCAAAGTCAGGGAAAAAGGAGTTATGTATGTATATGGAGTAGGCAACAAATAATGTCTCTCAAAGTACTGTGCCTAAACTTTGATTATTTTACCTGTTATTTTAACATAGATGGCATTTAATTAGTGAGAAGTTGGCTATAACAACAAAAAAGGAAAAAGAAGAAAGGAAGAAAACAATTCTCTGTCAGTTTCTCTATCTTTACATTATAAAATCAGATAATAGAATTTCTTGTGACTACTCCTTTGTGTAATATTACAAGTTGTTGGGTCTAAACAAATAACAACTATACTCATACCTTGAAATAGTTAATAAAATAAATACGTTTGCATTTGAAAAAAATGTTATGAAGTCTTCCTACTAGAATACTGTTTTTAATCCATTTAAGTGAATTTATTTTGGGAGAGATGATTTTCCCATTTTATGAATATATAAAAACATTTTTCAGGGCACCTGGTTGGCTCAGTCAGTTTGGTGTCTGCCTTCAGCTCAGGTCATTGTCTCCAGGTCCTGGGATCGAGCCCCACATAGGGCTTCCTGCTCTGTGGGGTGCCTGCTTCTTCCTCTGCCTTTGCCTGCTGCTCTCTCTGCTTGTCCTCTCTCTTTCTGTCAAATAAATAAATAAAAATGTTTTAAAAAACCCAGACATTTTGCAGGTGGCATGATCTTACAAATGGAAACTGTAAAGGCTCTACCAAGAAACTGTTAAAACTAATAAACAAATTCAGGAAAGTTGCAGGATACAAAATCAACATGCAGAAATCAGTTGTGTTTCTATACACTAACAACTCTCCAAAAAAGAAATTAAAATAATTCCATTGTGGTAGCATTGACAAGAGTAAAATACTTAGGAGCAAATTTATCCAAAGAGGGTAAAGACTTGTACAAATTGTAAAACTATGATGGAGAAAACTGAAGGCATAAATCAATGGGAAGTTATGCTGTGTTATTGGATTAGAAGAATTAATCCTAATATGTGCATGCTGACCAAAGTGGTCTACAGATTCAACACATTCTCTAATAATTCCAGTAGCAATTTTCATAGAAAAAAGAATCCTGAAATCATTGTGGTACCACAGAAGACCCCCAATAGCTAAAGCAATTGGGGAACATGAAGAACATGTTCTTGAACATGAAGAACAAAGCTGGAGGCGTCATACTTCCTATCTTCAAACTGCATTGCAGAGCTGTAATTATCAAGACAGTATGGTCCTGGCATAAAAAAGAGACACATAAATCAACGGAACAGGATAGAGAGCCCAGAAATAAAACCACACAAATACAGTCAACTTGTCTTTGAAAAGGGTGCCAAGAATGTGCAGTGGTTTTGGTAAAAATGGATATCCACATGCAAAAGGATGAAATTGAACCCTGATGTTACACTATACACAGAAATCAAACCAAAATGGATTAAACATTTAAATGTGAGGCCTGAATATTTAAAAATTCTAGAAGGAAACAAGGGAAAATCTCCCTAGCATTGGCTTTAGAACGGTTTCTTGGACTTGACACCACTAGCACAGGCACAACAAAAGCAAAAATAAACTATATCAAACTGAACAATTTCTCTGTAGCAAACGAAATAACAAAAGGAAAAAGGGACCTGCAGAGTATGAGCAAGTATTTTCAGACCATAGATCTAAAAAGAGGGGGATGGGGAGATACTGAGCAAAAGGGACAAAGTGTTAGATATAATGTGAATAGTTCCAGGGGCCTTACGTATAGCATGGTGACTGTTGTGAGTAATACTGTACCATATACTCTTGAAATTGCCAAAAGGGTAGATCTCAAATTTTCTCCCCACCAAAAAAAAAAAAAAAAGGAACGATGTGAGGTAATGGGTGTTATGTTGGCTTGATTGTGGTACTCATTTCACATTTCAAGGTGTATACATATATCAAAACATCATGTTATACACCTTAATGTGTCCTGCATAGTTCTCCTTTATCAGTCACTCCTCAGTAAGGCCTAAAAATATAACAAGAGAAATTGAAGTGACAGTTTCTTTTGGAGAAGATGGTTTTCACATTGTAGAAATAATTTAGTTATTGTTACAGGCAGGTTTATGGTGAACAAATTTTAAAATAAAAATCTGGTTGTTAAGTTTCACATCTCAAGATGGTTTATTTTATCAAAATCTGATGAAAAAAATTTGACTTCCGGTGTGAGGAAGCCTTTCAATATGTTGGGAGTGGAGCTTTAGAAAAATATATTTTTTAATCAGAACCTTAAGCTTCAATTCCAAGTGTCTGAGATTTTTCCACCTTTTTTTTTTTTAAATACTTTAAATGATTTTAACTTTGTTTTACTGATAAAAGGAAATGATGTAAATCATTCAGTTTGTGGTATAGGCATATTGTCACTGTTTTAGAATTTAACAAAAATAATACATGTTAACACTATATGTAGGCACTGAGGTGGATTTTGTGGAAAATGAAGACAGTTTTTCCTTTTGGGGTAGTTAAATTAATTAAATTGTGATTACTTAATGTAATGGAAGAAGTAGATATTTAAGACAGGCTTATAAAGAATTTGATTTAGTGGAAAGATACAAGTGGGAAGACAGGCATCTATATCTGTTCCACTTCTCTAGCCCTGTGAACTTTTTGTAGTTTCTCAAGTGTTCTGGGCTCTTCGATCATTTAGGATCTTTGCAGTGCTTTTGGTTTGTATGTTTTTGGAGTTCCCTTACTTGTTTGTCAGCTTGGCAATTTCCTGTCTTTCAAGACTTGGTTCAAAGAATATCTTTTCTGTGAAATCTTCCATGAAGTTCCTGGGGAAAGTTGGCTTCTTCCTTTGCCTTTCCCCCACAGTCCATTTTCTCTGTTTCTGTCTTTGTCTCTGACTTTGTGTTTCTCTCTGTGTTTGTAGTGTGTTAACCTCGAAAATAAAGCTGTCAGTTATATTACCAGCAAAATGGATTTATCAGGAATAACAAATTGCGGTTTGAGACATGAGCATTATGGCACAACCATAGGCAAGTCCAGAGAACAAAGGAGAGGGATGCTCTTTAATGTGGAAAAGGGGGATACAGAGGAGCAGTTATAAATTTTGTGTTAGAAACACAAAGCTCATTGGACTATACTGGTGTTTGAAGTGTAGTGGCTTTAGTTGGCTGAGTTGTGACAGCTTCTCTTTGGTGGGGCTTTTGCCAGGCAAGGAGAAAATCTCCCTCCTCCTGGGGTGGTAAAATAGAGGCTTCTTCCTGTTGGGAATGCAGAGGACTGCAGAGAAGGTAGGGTGTGAGAGATCCCCCCCTTCTTGCCTCCTGACTATTTTAAAGGGGGCTTCCTTTCTTCAGTTTCACAGGGGTTAGTATCGTCATCACAACACACCATTTATTTACTTGTCTGTCTCTGCCAGAGTTTGTGAACTTTGTGAACGTGAGGGTTTTATCCTATTTATCTCCAAATCTTAGAGCCTAGTGTAATGGTTTTGTATATTGGATCATTCAGTGAGTGTTCGTTGGGTGGATGAAGGAGTGGATGGTTGAAGAAAAAGAATTAGCCCCAAGTTTATTCAGGAGTACTGGGGGTCTGTCCAGAGGGACTGTGGTGAGAATACTTAACCCTGCAGGTACAGGGAGTTTGTAATTTATCAGTATTTGAAGACAGGTTTGAATAGACAAAGTAGGACTGGTTGGCAATGGAAGTTTTAATAAATAATGGAGTTATAATTAGTAGAATTGGGGTTAGAATTAGTAGAATTTCTGAAATTGTGTTTTAAAGCCCTCATTTTTGAAACGTACTGTGCTTTTGTATTTTGTAGTGCTTCTACTTCTCATTCAGAGAATTCAGTGCATACAAAGTCAGCTTCTGTAGTATCATCGGATTCCATTTCAACTTCTGCAGACAACTTTTCTCCTGATTTGAGGGTATGTATGCCATTTTTTTGAGGTATTTTGATGTATTTTTTCTTAGCTGTTTGTGGCCAACACTATGAGTATAACCTTGCACTAAGTAAGCAGGAAATCTTGATGGAATAGTCTCCCAAGACCTCAGTCTTTATAGTATATCCCAGAACAGGCCCCAGATCTGGAAATCTTATTGGTAAAAGAAAAATGTGTAATTCATTTCTGAGTTTGATAACTTTGAAGTTTTTTGCAAAAAGGTAATTAGTGGGTTTGGTTGTCATGTCAAAGATGTTCACAATTACTCCTATAATGGTGGCCAATAATAGCTAACCTTTTTGAGTACTTACCATATCCCCAGTGTTGTTCTCCGTCCTGTAATGAAATATCTCTTGTAATACTTCTTCAAATTCTGTGAGGTAGAGACTATTTTCATCACTATTCTAGGGATAATAATAACTCATAGAGCTTAATACCATGTCCAAAGTCTCGTCACTAATAAATTCTCTGGCTAGTCTAGCTCACGTCCAGTTCTGGAGCTAAGTCACTTAAATATAGTGTTGTAGTTGCTATGCATCTCATTATAGTTTAAATAGTCTTGTATTTGTTCAAGGTCTTATTGCTATGAAATTAACCACACCAGTGATATCCTGTAGCACTTTGATTGTTTTGGGATTCATCAGCCTTTCTACAACTGCTTATCTTTGAATGATGGAGAAAATGAATTTCATGTGCAGTACTAACCCTTAAACCTTGGAGTCTTTTTATCCTGACCAAGTGGCTGCTTTCCCAGTGGTTATAGTTCCACAATTTTAATGAGAACATTGTTTATATTAATGAAGTCATTTGCTGTTAAGCGTATTCTGAGACTGTATCTTTTTTTGTGTTACATTTTCAAAACAGAATCCAACAGATGTAAGAGTACAGATTACAAACATCTGGAAAGTCTTCCTCTTTTTTGTTCTTGTGTGTTGTGAAATGTGATAAAATAATAGTTTGGGTATAACCTGACTTTAAACATTACTAAAAATAATAAAGATTTATCTTTATAGTCTGGATATATTGTGCTAATTATGAAGGCTTCATAATATCTTTAGCTATTATTTTGTTGCATAATATACATTAAGGGCAGGGTTCATCATTAATAATGATGGATATAAATCCATCGTTTCCTCTCCTTAATTCATTGCTATTTAAAAATTTATCTTTTGGGGCACCTGGGGCTCAGTTGGTTAAGACACAGCCTTTGGCTTAGGTCATGATCCTGGAGTCCCAGGATAGAGTCCCACATTGGGCTCCCTGCTCAGCAGGGAGTCTGCTTCTCCCTCTGACCTCCCCACTCCCCTTATGCTTTCTCATTCTCTTTCTCTCAAATAAATAAAATCTTTTAAAAAAGCCCTATCTTTTATATATGTATCTAACTTTTGTTTGTTCATTATGTTAATACAAATGCACTGAAGGCCTGTGAATTTTTTTGGGCTACTTCTAGGCAGATTACATTAGTTAAAAACATCATTTTTTTAAAAAGATTTTATTTATTTACTTATCTGAGAAAGAGAGAGCAAGTGAGCAAGGTGGGGGGGGGGGAGCAGAGGGAGAGGGACAAGCAGACTCCGTGTTGAGTGTGGAGCCTGATGTGGGGCACAGCACCTCAACCCTGAGATCATGACCTCAGCCAAAGTCAAGGGTTGGATGCCCAACCGACTGAGCCAGCCAGGTGCCCCACATTGTTTGCTTTTAACTTTGTGTTGTGATGATAAAGAACTCCTACTAGGAGTGGGAGAAATGTCACTTTTGCTTCTGGCTATGCCTGCATTATTAATATTCAATCTGCCTTTTCTTGCCTGAAATAAAATATAAGTAAATGGTTCAAAATAAGCCATTTTTGTGTTCTTGTGAGGGTTAAGTTAGTTAAACTACTTAACTAGGCATGCCTGTGAATCACAGCTGAAAGGTAGCCTCTGCTCTCAGCTTTTTTGAAGGCAGGTCTCCTTCATTTCTTTGGGACACCAGACTTATAAATAAGAGTGACTGACTTACATTGGGACAAAATGAGAGTCATAATTTTAATTTGTATATTAAACATTATAATTTATTTCTTACTAGATATTTTTAAAAATTTAGAACACTTTTTGATTTACAGAAAAATTGCAAAGATAGTTAGGGGTTCCTATGTACTTGACCTCCACTTTACCCTATTATTAATGTCTTACATTTGTATGATACATCTCTCAAAAATAATGAACCCATGGTACAATTAACTAGGACATCTAGTTATTGTACATCTGGACATTGTACATTGTACATATTGGACATCTAGGATCTCATCTAGGACATCATATCACATTTAGCAGTCATGTCTCCTTAGGTGTCTCTTGGCTGTGACAGGCTTTTAGACTCTTTGTTTTTTGTGATCCTGACCGTTTTAAAGAGCACTCATCAGGTGTTTTGTAGGATGTCTGATATTTTACCCATAGACTGGGGTTACCTCTTTTGGGGAAGAAGACCACAGAGGTAAAGAGCCATCTTCATCGCATCATGTCAAGGGTACATACTGTCGACATGATTTATCACTGTGGATGTTAACCTTAATCACTTGGTGGAGGTAGGGTTAGGGGTTTTCAATGCAAAATACTTTTTTTTTTTCTCCCCTGCCTTTTTATATTGTAGTCTCTGAAGGAAGTGGCTATGCACAGCCCGAATTTAAGCCCATCTTGTTGAGAGTGGAACTTCTACATACATTTTTTGTAATTCCTCTGCCTGGAGATTTGTCTCTTCTCTCTCATTTATCACTTTATGCAGCATTTATTTATATCAGTATTTACTTACAGATATCTATTTTATATTTTGGATTTTAATTCAGTACTACCTTGTTGCTCAGATTGTTCCAACTCCAAATTGAGAGTTACTTCAGTCAGATCATCTGTCCCTTTGATGTATTCCCATCATTGTGTTTGTTTTGTTTTGTTCTCAACCCTGTGTTACTTTACTAAGTAAGCACTGCAGGATAGTCCAGCCTCATCTTGATATTTCCTGCCTCAGTTTTAAAATCATCATCCATTTCTCAAGGAGCCCAGGTTTCTTTTATTGGAGAATGGTATTAGAAACCAAGATCTGGGCACTAGGCTTTCTTCCTTTCTCCCTTCCTCCCCCCCTCTCTCCCTCCCTCCCTCTCTCTCTTTCTTCTTTCCTCCCTCCCTCCCTTTCTCTCTCTCCTTCCTTCCTCCCTCCCTCCTTCCCTTCCTTCCTTCTCTTTTTCTCCCTTCCCTGTCTTCCTTTTCCCTCCCTTTCTTCCCTCTCCTCCCTCCCTCCTTCCCCACCCACCTCTTCCCTCCCCTCCCTTCCTTCCTTTCACCAAAAAGGTACAAAGTTACTTTACTTCTGAAGCAAAATATCATTTGCATGCATTTTATTTGGAGGTGATATCATGGGTAGGGTGATCATATATGCATATTAGTCTGGAGTAGTCTTATTTTATGCCTGTTGTCCCTTCAGGTTTAAGATCAGATACAAAAATGTACCAGATTATTGACTTTCTTAGCGCTCTGGAGTACCAAGGGAATCTTCTGAAATTACATATCAGCTCCATGACTGTCGGGATTCTCTCCATTAGTGCCTTATGAATTTAGCATCTTTCACAGCTTAGAGGGTTCCTCGGAAAATCTTTATGAGATGAAGAGACAGTTGTTAAATGTTAAACTGAAGAGATGGTTTTGGGCAGCAAAGGTTAATTGTACTTTCCATAATAGTGTATAGGCTGCCTGTTACCCTGTTCCCTCATTTTTAAAGTTACCTTTGATTCCTAGTCTTTTTTTTCAGTTGTGGAAGGGAGATGAATGATTAACATTACATTAAATGTTAGTGTTCTTTAAAAAATGCCACCTAATTTCAAATATGTGCTCTTTTCAGAGGTGAGATGGGAAGAATGTGCTTCTAATACTTGAAAAAAATCTTCTTGCTACTGGTAAACATTTATATATGCCTCATCTCAGTTTTGTGCAGCGGCAGTATCGTAGCCAGTGAGGTTTATCCAAGGTGCGATTATTGCTATATAAGCCTCATCTCATTTAACTTCCACAACAGTCCTGTGAGACAGATACTGTGACTCCATGTGACTAGTGAGAAACCTGGTATTCAGAAGAGATTAATTAAGTCCCGTGCTTAAAGGCACGCAGCTCCGTGTTCGCCTTACTTGGTCTCAGGTGGGTTGTGTCCGTGTATAGCACATTACCCAGAGTGACTGGCCTTCTGTGATCTGGCTGTTGTTTTCAGACATGTAGTGAGCTTTTCTGAAGGGACAAAGAATATCCTAATACATTTTTTGAGGTAGCAATAGCAGTTTTCAACATTACTTCCTTAATAAATTAAAATTCCTTTTCTAAATAATCAGAAAAAGAGGCTTTTTGTAGTAAAGGTTTGATCTCCCCTCAGTTCTGTTAGTTGTTGATATTTAGTGCGTAGAGTGTGTATACCTTCGGTGGCCCTAAAATATAAGTGTGCTAGTTAATTATAGGTGGGCCCAACTGCAGACAGCTGTGTGTAGTTTTCTGCCTGATCGTGGTTTGGCTCTATGCTTGAGATGAGGGGCTTGGTATGGTTGGTGGTTGTGAAAATCATCGTTCACAGATGATTTGAAGTTGGTTAACCTCCAGGCTTTGAGTTCTCCACATAGCCTCAGCTGTTTATCCCTGCCCTGAGCCTTAACCTTTTAAAGCTCCTTTAGTAACAGCTTTTAAATGGAAGTATGAAAAGCACCATGCATTGGAAAGCTAATCCAATTTCATTAGAAATCTTAAATCAAATTGTAAAAATTTTCTGCTACAGGTGTTGTGCAGTGACCCTTTTCCTGAGAAGATAGTGTGTTAGTTGATTAACAGCTGAATGTGAAAGCTTGTGTTGAGGATTTCTTATTGAAACAAGATGAAACTATGCTAGATATTCAAGACTTGTATTTATTCATGTGGAGTTCTCTTTATATTTTTCATCTTTTCAGCATTGCTTGTTGCAGAAAGAGTCATATACAG